CAAGTACTATAGGCTTGGGCTTTAGAGGGTTCAGGGTATCTGCTCAACTGGAGCCTTCTTACTTGTTTTATGTGTATTTTATACTATTATGTATATAATTGAATAAGTTGTTCATTAAGTGTCACTTATTAAAGTAAAGTTATTAAAAAATTAGTTTGACCAATAGTCAAGAGCAGTGATCAGTTAGCAACGATGAAAAAAAAAGTTTTGCTCTATTGCCAACAACAATAATATAAATATAATGGTATACCACTACCTTTGTGTCCAAGAGATTCTTTCCCGAAACCATTGCAAACGTTTCCTTTTTTAAGAAGCGTAATCAAAGGTGTTTTCTTGGCCTACGAGTAAGATAAGTTATTGGGTACGATRCATAGGTAATAACAAAACATACTTTATAATTAGTAAGAAAGCTCTAGTCGAGACTGCCCGACTACGGGATCCCCTGAACCCTTCGAGCAACCTATATTTTAACAATTATTCGCATGGGTAATAACAAAACATACTTTATAACAAGTAAGAAAGCTCGACTACGAGATCCCCTGAACCGTTCGAGCAACCTATATTTTAATAATTATTCCCATATACACACACACACATATGTATACCCACGCTTGCATAAACACGCATTGGCTGCAGTGGTGGCTTGGTGTGGGAAATTAACTGTTTAATAACTTTTCCTGTGGATGGACTATCCTCATGAAACTTTCAGATTATGATTATAACATGGATATGCATGCATTTGCCAAAACACAATGTTTTTATGCCCTGAACCCATTTTCAATGGGAAATCAGAGTATAATGGTTTTGTTAAAAGTATGTAACAGGCAGAAGGAGGCGTGGCAGTCCCCATACAGTACATATATATATTCTAGGTCCGTCCGTCTGTGCGTATGTTTGAACGCGTCGATCTCAGATGTAAGAGCTAGAGACTTGAAATTCTTTTTCCTATGTCCATGTATACCACACGCATATCGAGTTTTGCTTTGAAAATCGATCATTTTCCCCATTATTTTGTTATAGATTAAAATCATTATCGAAAACCAGTAATAAATTTATATCTCTTACATGTTTAAAGCTAGAGTCACCAAATTTTTAAAGTAGATTTATATGTAATTTATGGAATTTCGATTTTTTTTCTTCAAAATTACCCTCTACCCCTAATTCATCCCCTCACCCACATATGTTTAAAATGAGTATTTCAAATACTAGAGACTTGTGCATATTTATATTATATTCATATTCTGAAAGTTTCATGAAGATAGTCCATCCACAAGAAAAGGTATTAAATAATTAATTTCCCATAGTAAGCTACCACTGCAGCCAATGCGTGTTTGTGCGTGCGTGCGCATGGCTGTGTGTGTGCGTGTATGTGCATGTGTAAATAATTATTGAAATATCAGTTGCTCGAAGGGTTCAGGGGATCTCGTAGTCGGGCAGTCCCGACTAGAGCTTTCTTACTTGTTATGTTCGAAAAGTAATATAAACTGATAATTACTCAATTCCTAATTTAACTTTCACCTCTAACTCTCCTGTTAGAATGCTCTTATTCGACAGCCGATCTTATTCGATAGTTGATTACATATTTGTCTTTATTGATATGTGCTCCATTTACCAAGCATCTGGTCAGTGGATGCATGCATGCAAAGCTGACAAACATATGATCAGTGAAATATACATACAGTTTGGCAAGAAAGTGTTTACACATAGGGAAAAAATTTTAATTTTTTACTTTGAAGCGAAATAAACGCATTAAGAATATGCATATTCAATTTTTTTTAAATGAAAATAGGTAAATTAGACTATAAACTATATTAGTAAGTAAAAGAAATTACAATATGTTTCCATTAACAAAAGAAAATAACAAAAAACAAAAGAAGTAACAAAAATCAGCTGACAAGAAAGTGTTTACACAACTAAAACAATTAATTCATTATAGTGTTTTAA